ACAGTATATATATATATATATATATATATATATATATATATATATATATATATACGGTATATAATATATATAACGCGTATGCACATACCGTACTCATTACAAAACATCCTTGTTCCTTAAATTAGCCGGTGTTTCGCGTGTAATGTTTATTTAAATCGACAAGAAAGGTGTAGATCTTATAATTTAGCCATATCACTTACCCCAACATAGCGAGAAAGGCAAACTGCAAAATGCTGTGATTATTTTATAGCACCATAGTTTTGATGAGGAAAATGTAAGAAAACTGTATTCCCAAACCATATCAAACGAATGCATACCGTTCGGTTCGGCAAATACTTCTTCAAAGCCAACCTGGAAAACATTAATAAAATTATAAAATTTATTCTTCAAGATTTTAATTTTTGCAGAGTTTATATCCGACCATCTTACAATATATTCAGCATCCTCTGTTTGTCAACTTAATCAATACTATTGACATTAATAAACTGACGGATATATACTGTATCATACAGTTATGTTAACGTTACTATTACATCTTTTTATATAAGAGAGAATTATAATTTTAATGAATTAGTTATGGAAATGTTCTAAAGATATAGATTATAACTCCAGAAGTCAATTCTATAAGTCCTAATACATTAAAAACATCGACTAATTATTTTTTTAGAAGAGGAATTTTTTTTATTAGAGGGCAAAGGAAAATCTATAGCAATTGGGTAAGAGAGGTGCCGGTGGATGGCAGATTTGAAAGTCTTGAGATTATAGGAGAAAATGAAACAAGAAGATGGGGGAGAATTCTTCAGAGATGCGAGGTTCAGAAATGATAGATGTGAGTGAGAGACAATGCGAATAGAGGAAGTAAAACAACGATGGTTGGTGGGCAGTGGCGTTGTGATGATGGGCCATAGTGCAAGAATAATTGCGGGGCCTTTTGATTTGAAGCGCTGATCACGGCCGTCAGTTTTGACTGGTGGACCGGGACAAGGGACCGCAAACAGCCAGAGATTGTATTCGAAGTTCATTTTACGAAGTGCTTTGTAATTTTTTTTACTGCCTCCCTACTATTATGGTGATTCTATACTTTTAGCTCATCAACTTTGGCTATCCAATTTCAATTCATTAATGTTTTCATTAATATTCTGCTATTAAAATATTATAATTATTATTATTATTATTCTGCCTATTAAAATGATGTAACAATATGAAATATCTGCATATATGCCTATCAGACTGAAGTAACAGGCTTATTGCATTGTAAATATTGAAAACCTTTCAGTTATCGTAGAATTATGCTAGATAGATTCAAAAGCACTAAAAAAACACTCTCAATGTCATAGGGGCCTAATACTCTGTCATACAATGAGAAACAAACAGCTGCATGTTACTCGTTATTGAGACCAAGATTAAAAAGAAGCACGATCAAACGATATTTTCATCGTAATAGGCCTAAAAATCTATACTTCTATAACTCTATAATATAGAGTTATAGAAGTATAGATTTTTAGGCCTATTACGATGATAGTGTTCTGCAAATTTCTTTAGAACATTTTTAGGTTAAAGTTTAATTTCTAAGTTAATGATTCTTATTTGCCGTATCTACAATATCGAGTCTATCATTAACAATCTTTCATTGTCATAGGGGCCTAATACTCTGTCATACAATGAGAAACAAATAGCTGCATGTTACTCGTTATTGAGACCAAGATGTTAAAAATAAGCACGATCAAACGATATTTTCATCGTAATAGGTTTAAAAATCTATAATTCTATAACTCTATATAGTGTTCTGCAAATTCCTTTAGAATTTTTTCAGGTTAATATTTAATTTCTAAGTTAATGATACTTATTTACCGTATCTACAATATTGTGTTTATCATTAACAATCGTTCATTGTCATAGGGACCTAATACTCTGTCATACAATGACAAACAAACAGCTGCATGTTACTCACTATTGAGACCACGGTGTTAACGATCAAACGATATTTCCATCGTAATAGGCCTAAAACTCTATAATTATATAACTCTCTATATAGTGTTCTGCAAATTCCTTTAGAATTTTGTCTGGTTAATGTTTAATTTTTTAAGTTAATAATACTTGTTTACCGTATCTACAATATTGGGTCTACACTTAAATGTCAAATTTATTATTCAAAATATTTAGGCCTACTACACGGAGGATAAAAAGCACGATCAAACAATATTTTCATCGTAATGAAGCTCTATAATTCTATAACTAGTGTTCTGCAAATTCCTTTAGAATTTTTTCAGGTTAATGTTTATAATTTCTAAGTTAATGATACATGTTTACCGTACCTACAATATTGGGTCTACCCACTTAAATGTGAAAATTTACTCTCCAAAAAATTTATGCCTACTACACGCTCAGGGGCGGATCCAAAATTTTTCAAACGGGGGGGGGGGCACAACAGTTTGAAAATAGATAAGTGAGTAGCACACATTGATTTGCATGGAAATTTTTAGAATTTAGTGGCAAAACGAGGGGGTGGGGGAACGTTCCCCCGCGTCCCTCTACTGGATCCGCCCATTAACCCATTATTCTATAAAATTGTGAGTTTTTATGTTACATTTTTCTGTACTATAATTTAGAAATTAACAGAACATTTACAATGTGAATCCATACAAGGCATCGTTAATATGCTCTTACTTCAGAAAATTCCAATCTTCAGCCTTTTCCACGATCCGAGAGCAATGGGAATGCATTCTTAGCTGAAATGGACCCACGGAACGCTTTTATTACTGTACCATCATCAGTTGGGGAACTCCGTTTTTGGTCGGACTGATTGATTCATAAGAAATCAGTCAATGCACACAATTCTAATATCTCGCGGTCCAAGTACAGTACGTTAAGCTAGCGGTAACCGTTTTGCAGGGAACAGTAAAATTTTCACTGGTTCCTGGTTTTTGGACCGCGGTCCATAGGTCACCAGGACGCTAAGGCATATGACCCAATTTCTGATGCATCTGTGTCTATAGATTCAGCTAGTGTAGCCTACAGAACAAGTGTCAAGCGTTGGTAGTTTTAACATTTCTTCAAATGCTTCTTTTTTCTTTCTTATCTGACCATTTGAAAATTGATGGCACGTAAAATGTATACTATTGAAAAAAATACAAAGCATTGCCAACAATTTTCACCTCTAAACCTAAATAATATTGAGGGGCTTGCTGGGCGTTTAGTTTTTATCTTTTAAGAAATTAAGTTGCAATTATATTTTTTATGCCTATTATTGAACGGGTCCCTAATAACCCCGGGCCCCAGTGCTTTGCGTACCGGTTGCACTGCCCATCCATACCCACTGTTCGTAGGAGTCGACCGGGCTTACACGATTAAGGAGAGACTGTAAAAATTTGAAGCACGACAGAGTTACAGTATATATCATTTGAGCACCGAAGAAGTAACGACAAAAATAGAAAGGGCAGCGACACATCTGTGATGGGCAATTCTTTTAGAGAAGTGAGTGAGAGATTCACATTTGGCCCTGGAGCACCTTGTCAAGGACAAAAATAATAGATGAAGGAGCACCACTGAGATGTAGGCTACTCCAACTGGGGCTGCTTTGGGCTTCGGAAAAGAGAAAAGAGATTGTCTCTCGGTGTACTGCCCAATTACCACTAGAAGGACCCTGCTAGAGATAAGTCTTTTCTGGCTTGGTGTTTTCACCGAATAAATCCATCCACCCATCCATCCATCCATCTACAATTTAATGCTGAAGATATCTATCTATTACATACTGTGGTGCCTTACCCTAACATCCTCATTGACATGGTTAGGATCTCTTTCTAGCATAATGTCAACTTCAGCTTTATTTTTCGCAGCCATGTCTGATGTGTAAGGAATCGTCAGTTCGTGTTGAGACAGCCTACGCCCGATATCCGCTTCAGCCTTTTCACCATTTGACATAATCCTTGGCTGTAAAAAATGACATTATATAATAATAATAATAATAATAATAATAATAATAATAATATTAATAATTATAATAATAATAAATTTTTAGATGATATGCGTCTTCTTATTGTCTTGTGTTTACAAAGTTACGCAGCAAAACCTAACTTGCATATGTATTAATTTGAATGTTAATATAAAAAATACCATATACTGTATAATAATGAAACCCACAGAAGACGGTGACAAAACGATTATTTTATTATTCTCATTGGCATTTTCATTGTTAGATACATCATTAACATATGATATACAGTAATTTAAAACACATTAGAAATAGTCATAATATTAGTTTGTACTTTTCTGAGTTATTATCAAGCCACATCCTCATACGGATATACAAATTAAACGCCCAGTTCAACATATCTAGACAAAATCCTGTGAACTAATTTAGCTTTAATATGCTTACAATTAGTTGCTCTTGAAGAAGTAACGACAAAAATAGAAAGGGCAGCGACACATCTGTGATGGGCTATTCTTTTAGGGAAGTGAGTGAGAGATTCACATTTGGCCCTGGAGCTCCTTGTCGACAAGGACAAAAATAATAAATGAAGGAGAACCACTGAGATGTAGGGTACTCCAACTGGGGCAGATTTGAACTTTATAAGATTTAGGTGCTCAAAATAAAAAAAAGCCTGATTACTCAACCTTTATTCTTAAAAAAAAAAAAAAAAAAAAAAAAAAAAAATAGAGCTGCTTAGGGCTTCGGAAAAGAGTACAATTATTGTCTCTCGGTGTACTGCCCAATTACCACCAGAAGGACCCTGCTAGAGATAAGTCTTTTCTGGCTTGGTGTTTTCACCGAATAAATCCATCCACCCATCCATCCATCCATCCATCCATCTACAATGTAATGCTGAAGATATCTATCTATTACATACTGTGGTGCCTTACCCTAACATCCTCATTGACATGGTTAGGATCTCTTTCTAGCATATTAATGTCAACTTCAGCTTTATTTTTCGCAGCCATGTCTGATGTGTAAGGAATCGTCAATTCGTGTTGAGACAGCCTACGCCCGATATCCGCTTCAGCCTTTTCACCATTTGACATAATCCTTGGCTGTAAAAAATGACATTATATAATAATAATAATAATAATAATAATAATATTAATAATTATAATAATAATAAATTTTTAGATGATATGCGTCTTCTTATTGTCTTGTGTTTACAAAGTTACGCAGCAAAACCTAACTTGCATATGTATTAATTTGAATGTTAATATAAAAAATACCATATACTGTATAATAATGAAACCCACAGAAGACGGTGACAAAACGATTATTTTATTATTCTCATTGGCATTTTCATT